TTTTGGGTAATTTTGGGGTTCCCAATTTTGGTTTTTCCCCCCCAAAGTCAAGCAGGTGTTCAAGGACCTGGAGTTCCTGGGGTTTGGGGTTCCCAATTTTGGGGATTTTGGGGTTCCTGGGCTGGATTTTGAGGAGGATTTTGGGTAATTTTGGGGTTCCCAATTTTGGTTTTTCCCCCCAAGTCAAGCAGGTGTTCAAGGACCTGGAGTTCCTGGGTTTTGGGGTTCCCAATTTTGGGGATTTTGGGTAATTTTGGTGTCCCCAATTTCTGTTTTCCCCCCAAAGTCAAGCAGGTGTTCAAGGACCTGGAGTTCCTGGATTTTGAGGAGGATTTTGGGGATTTTGGGTAATTTTGGTGTCCCCAATTTCAGTTTTTTTCCCCCCCAAGTCAAGCAGGTGTTCAAGGACCTGGAGTTCCTGGGTTTTGGGGTTCCCAGTTTTGGGGATTTTGGGTAATTTTGGGTAATTTTGGGGTTCCCAATTTCTGTTTTCCCCCCAAAAGTCAAGCAGGTGTTCAAGGACCTGGAGTTCCTGGGTTTTGGGGTTCCCAATTTTGGGGATTTTGGATAATTTTGGGGTTCCCAATTTCGGTTTTTTCCCCCAAAGTCAAGCAGGTGTTCAAGGACCTGGAGTTCCTGGATTTTGGGTAATTTTGGGTAATTTTGGGGTCCCCAATTTTGGTTTCCCCCCAAGTCAAGCAGGTGTTCAAGGACCTGGAGTTCCTGGATTTTGAGGAGGATTTGGGTAATTTTGGGTAATTTTGGTGTCCCCAATTTCTGTTTTCCCCCAAGTCAAGCAGGTGTTCAAGGACCTGGAGTTCCTGGGTTTTGGGGATTTTGGGTAATTTTGGGTAATTTTGGTGTTCCCAATTTCTGTTTTCCCCCCAAAAGTCAAGCAGGTGTTCAAGGACCTGGAGTTCCTGGGTTTTGGGTAATTTTGGGTAATTTTGGTGTCCCCAATTTTGGTTTTTCCCCCCCAAGTCAAGCAGGTGTTCAAGGACCTGGAGTTCCTGGGGTTTGGGGTTCCCAATTTTGGGTAATTTTGGGCAATTTTGGTGTCCCCAATTTTGGTTTTTTCCCCCCAAGTCAAGCAGGTGTTCAAGGACCTGGAGTTCCTGGGCTGGTACACGACGGGGGGACCCCCCGAGCCCGCCGACATCCACGTGCACAAACAG